ATTGTCAGAAAGATCAAAGAACTCACACTGGGGAGAAACCCCATGTATGTAAGCAATTTGGGAAAGCCTTCAGACAACACAATCATTGTTGAATACATGCAAAAATTACTGGGGAGAAACCCTAAGTATGTAAGCAATGTGGAAAAGCTTTCAGCACACATGGTGATTGTCAAAAACATGACAACTCACACCGGGGAGAAACCCTGTGTGTGTAAGCAATGTGGAAAAATTTTCAGCACACATGATGATTGTCAAAAATATGGAAGAGCTCACAATGTGGAGAACCCCTATGTATGTTAGCAGCGTGGGAAAGCTTTCAGCATACCTAATTGTTAAAGACATGACCAAACTTACACTGCGGTGGGGGTGGGGGTGGGGAGGTATTTAAGCACTGTGGAAAACCTTTCAGTACATACATAGTTGTCAAATACATGAAAGGAATCACACAATTTAGAAATCCTGTTTATGTGAGCTATATGGAAAAGTCTTCAGTTACTCTAGCAATCAACATAGACATTAAATTAAGAAAAAAAATTAAAGAAAATTTTGTATATATATATATATATATATATATATATATAGTGACTTGCACAGACATGAAAGGACAGTGTAGAGAAGCCATTTCTTTGTATGCAATATAAAAAATCTTGCAGTACATAAGTTACCATTATATACCTAAGGAAATTCATAGACGAGAGAATCTGAGCATATATGGACAGTGTGGGAAATGTTTTCTTTTTCTCAGTGTATTCAAGTACATAAAAGTCTTCACATGAGAAGGCATATGTATGCAATAAATGTGGAAAACAATTAAAAAAAAAAACCCACATCTTCTTTATCCATCTCCAGTTGTTGAGCAATTGGGCTGTTTCCAAGTTTTAGCTATTACAAACTGGGCTGCCATGAACGTGGGTGCACATATATCACTGTGGTATGATTCTTGTAATTTTTCTGGGAAGATAACCAGCAGGGGAATAGCCAGGTCAAATGGGACCTCTAGTCCTAGTTTTCTGAGGTATCTCCATACTGATTTCCACAGTGGTTGCATCAGTCTACACTCCCACCAGCAGTGGAGAATGATTCCTTTTTGCCCACAGCCCCACCAGCGTTTGTTATTGGTTGATTTCTTGGGGTGAGTGGAATCTCAGGGTTGTTTTCATTTGGATCTCTTGAATGACCAGTAATGTTGGACATTTTTTCCTATGTTTATTTGCTATTTTGACTTCTTTGTCTGAGAAATGTCTGTTCATTTCAGATGCCCATTTTTGGATTGGGCCTTTAAATTTGGGAGGTCTGATTTTTTTTAGTTCTTCATATATTCTAGATAGTAGACCTTTGTCTGAAGAAAAGCTCGTAAAAATTTTTTCCCAAATTATGGGTTGTCTTTTCATGCTGTTGGTGGTTTCTCTTGCTGTGCAGAAGCTTTTTAATAAGATGAGATCCCTCTTGTTGATTGTTTGTGGTAGTTCATGTGTGACTGTGGTTTTGTTTATGAAATCTTTTCCTACACCAGTGTCTTCAAGAGTTCTCCCTACCCTGTATTCCAGCCCATTTAGTGTTTCTGTTTTAATATTTAGGTCTTTGATCCATTTCGATTTTAGTTTAGTGCATGGTGAGAGATACACATCTAGTTTTAATCTTTGGCAAGTTGAAAGCCAATTTTTCCAGTACCATTTATTAAAAAGGCTATCTTTCCTCCAGTGAGGGTGTTTGGCTCCTTTGTTAAAGATGAGGTAGCTGAGTATGTCTGGCATTGTTTCTGCATCTTCTAATCTGTTCCACTGGCCCTCAGGTCTGTTT